ATATGTCAGAACGATAAAAAATGGGCAAATTTTATGGTTATAGCTCATGAATTCATGAATCAAGAACTCCGCAAAAATAGTTGCTAATTGGTCAAAATGAATGAAAATGGATAACGTCTATGGGTTATAGCTCATAAAATCTTAAATTATGGCTTACTTAAAATTATTTACCAATATGTTGTAGGCTATAGCTCATGAAATTATAAATTTTGAACTATGTGACATTATTAGTCAATTGGTAGAAATGACTAGAAATAGCAAAAACTGTAGGTTATAGTTAATGAAATCTTGAAAGTTGGACTTCATCAGTTGGTCAAAATGAATAAAATTGGCTAAAATTATGGGTTATAGCTCATGAAATCTTAAATTTTGGCTTATGTGAAATTATTTGCTAATGGGTCAGAATAACTAAAAATGGCTCAAAATCATCGGTAGCTCATGAAATCATTAATTTTTTACTTTGTGAAATTATTAGCTAGTAGGTAGAAATGGCTAAAAATTATTTCTAACCATTGGCAAATAATTTTTTTCTTAGGTAAAATTATTTTCCAATAGGTCGAAGCAACTAAAAATTGCTTTCGCAAAATTATTTGCCAATGAATTAAAATAATTAAAAATAAACAGAAATCATGAAATATATCTTATGAAATCGTAAAATTTTTTACTCCACTTATTATTTACCAATGGGTAGTAACAACTAAAAATGGCTAAAAAGGTGGATTATAGGTCATGATATCATGAATTTTGGACTAGCGAAATTATTTACTATGGGATGAACCGAATAAATATGATAAATAGCTCATAGAATCTTTTTTTTTTACTTCATAAAATTATCTAGCAATAGGTTGAAGCAACTAAAAATGATAAAAAATTGTGAGTTATAGCTCATTACATCATGAATTTTGGACTTCACGGAATTATTAGCCAATGGGTTGAAACATATTTAAAATAGACAAAATCGTGGGCTATAGCTCATGAAATCCTAAATTTTGGACTCCGTGACATTATTTGCTGATAGATCGAAATTAATGAAAATGACCAAAATTCACAATTTTATGAACTATAACCCATGATTTTTGGCAATTTTAACCATTTTGTTCTAACAAATAATTTCGTAGAGTCTAAAATTCACAATTTCATAAGAAATAACCTAAAAATTTTGTCATTTTAGCCTTTTCAACCAATTCGTAAATATTTTCGCATAAGTGAAAAGTCAAGATTTCATGAGCTATAACCCACAGATTTTTAGTCTTATTATTCCTTTCAATCCATTGGCATATAATTTTACGGAGTCCAAAACTTATAATCTCATGAGTTGTAACCCACGATTATTGGTCTTTATAGCTGTTTTTATATATTGGCAAATAATTTTGCGAGTCCAAAATTTATGATTTTATGAGCTATTATTGATGCCATTTTCAATCATTTTGACGCATTGGTAAATGATTTTCCGTAGTCTAAAATTCATAATTTAATGAGCTATAATGCATATTTTTTGTTTATTTTTAGTCATTTCAATCCATTCGCAAATATTTTGTGGAGTCTAAAATTCATAATTTCATGAGCTAATCCGTGATTTTTAGTTTTTTTTTATCCTTTCGACCCATTGATAAATAGTTTTGCAAAATCCAAAATTTACAATTTCATAAGCCGCTACCCCATGATTTTTGGTCATTTGTCCTCGTTTAGAGCCCTTCGCAAATAATTTCACTGAGTCTAAAATTCGTGATTTCAATACCTATAACACACATTTTCTGGTCATTTTTAGTCATCCCGACACGTTGACAAATAATTTCGCGTAGACCATAATTCAAGATTTCATGAGCGCCCAAAATTTTTGGCCATCTTTTCGTTTCTACCCGTCGGTAAATAATATCGTGTGGTTAAAAATTTATGATTTCATTAGCTATCACTCAGTGATTTTTTGGCCATTCTTTATCGTTTCCCAATTAGCAACTACATATGGGGAATTCAGAAACGAGAGATTTGTGTGCAAGGCTGTGACCAAAGCTCAAACTTTGCACCCCGGCTCGAGCTATAAAGTTATGTAGGATCTGGGTCCACCTTCTATAGCTAGCGAGTGGCTGAAACTCGCACCATACATATATGTCATCAAAAGAGGATAAGCCCCCCTCGTCCCTCTGAAGCGAAAACAGCGAGAGAGAAAAATTCAACGTTTGAATGGATTCTCTCTCTTTCCTCAACACAATCCCTTTCTCCTCCGCTCTTAAACCCCCTCCTCCTCGCTCCAAACCTCACCCTCTCCATCCCAAACTCATCCCCCTCTCAGCTCCCTTCAGTACTCTAACCCCTCCCGGAGCCTTGAAGAGCCCTCGAGGCTTCGGCCCTCCCACGTCCAAAAGAGCCAAAACCCGAAAGAAAACCCAGACCAACAAGGACGACGACGACGACGACGAAGACGAGGACGACGTGGCGATCCCCGAAGTAGTAACGAACAGAATGATGAAGAGAATGGGGCTCTCGGTGGGGATCCCACTGTCGGTAGGACTTCTGTTCTTCCCTTTCTTTTACTACCTCAAGGTGGTGGCCAGAGTCGACGTGCCGAGCTGGGTCCCCTTCGTCGTGTCGTTCGTCTTCTTCGGCACCGCGCTGGAGTCAGCTACGGGATCGTGTCGGCGAGCTGGGACCCGCTGCGGGAGGGGTCGCTGCTCGGGTGGAATGAGGCCAGGAGGAACTGGCCCGTGTTCTGGGAGTCCCTCCGGGGTGGTGGAGGGGGAAGGAAGGAGTGACGACGACATTCATTGAGATGCATCGTGCGTCGAAGTCTCTCTGTTGTTTTTTAATTAATGCTGGGTGGCGTGCTCTTGAGGTTTCTGAAGGGGTGAAAAGGATTTTGATGGGTGAACTCTGTGAGCTGGTCTCGTGGAGAGTAGTGAGGGGTTCGGTTCTCTCTATTTCTGTTTATAAGTCAGAACTGCATTAATCCTGGTTCGGACAGGAGTAGTAGCGCGAGTCGTGTTGCTAATCTTGTATCGATTCGGTATTTATCAGACGCACGTACTGTCGTTTCTGCCGCAGTTAAAAACTAAATCTTGATTCCGACAAATCTCTAGGGGGAAAGGATAGCCACATGCGTATGAATGTACACGTACGAAGTTGTAAGGTATTATATATTGTCATGTTTATCTACTGCGAATAAATAATGTCTAGAAACCAAGCAGACCCTGGAACCGAAAACTTACAGTCATAATCGCTACTACATAATTAACGGATAACAAAAGCTTTTACGAACGTACACTTTAATTTATCCAGCAAAATGTTTTTGTCACCTGTTGGTGTTTTGTTATTGAACTATCAAAGCTTCTGGTTGCATAATAAGGGAAGCACTATCCGATGATGGGGGTATACATTCAGCGTCATGGGAACACCAATTCAAATTCAGGAAATTTTGCTATTAACAATCAGCAACCCTGCGTACAAAATCACAAAAAAGATTTTTAAGCATCTACAAGAGCGCACACAATGCAAACCGAATCTAGCTATTTAAACACCACCGGTATCGGATTAGCACACATTAAAAAAAAAATCAAACCATCAGAGACATAAAACATCGAATATGGATGCATGCAACGTATAAATGCCTCCCATAGATCTTTTTCCTCAACCCAAAACCTTCCGTGAATAGCGCCTAGCAGACGGGATTTCATAAGACCGCCCAAGGTAATCGGTCTGGCTGTGCCATCCACCAGCTTTCATCGCCGCTGGTGGTGGCTTGCTAA